TTTTGTGTTGTAGTGAGATCAAATTATCTGCATGGTATATTCACTTGCCTCTTTGTGTGTCTAGTGGTTCAGAAAGGAAGCAGCTGGGATGAGAAGTCAGTGGGGGTGAACTGCCGGGGCTTGGAGGAGGGGAGGCCCAATATGTAGAAACGAATGTACCCCAGCAGGATAGGCTGCAGACAAAAAGAAAAAAATTGACAGTGTTTAAATGGGTATATCAAGCCAGTCTGATATGCATCCAGCGGAGAAGCCTGGCTCAAGGAGCTCCCAGGCTCCTCTTGCCCCGTCAATTTCTGTAAACATCTGGTGAACGGGCCACAGCAGCTGATTGTTTCCAGAGACGTAAAGAACGAAAGAAAAGGCTCTTGCATTCGAGGGAAAGTGTCTTATGCTACTGGCCTGAGCCTGTTGCGTATCTCCTCTGCACAAGGCCCAAAGACAAAGTCTTTGCTCAATGGGCAGCTGTAAAATGGGGAAATGGCGCTCGCGGCCTGGGCAGGCCACAACACAGGAAACAGCTTTAATTAATGAACAAGCGCTAGTGAGAACAATAGTACCACCAGATACACCGCCCGGCATCCAGGCCAGATGAGCCGCAAAGGCTTGAAACCATCTCTCCTGTGGAGTCTATAGAAGTCAGCGATTTTCATGGAGACTTGGTCAAAAAGAAATTGGACTGCTTCAGGCATCGTTTCAATAGGAGATCTAGCTAGGATGGCAGGCCAGCGGGGAGTTCCAAGCTAAACCAGCCCAGAGCGCAAAAGCAATAGACTTTAGCCACGGGATAATGCAATGCCAGACGGCAATGGTTCCTGGAAAACGCGGCAGGAAAACAAACACCTTTCTAATGAGACCTTGTCACCATTTCTCTGTGCTTTCGCCGTCTAAATCCTGGCGGTCCAGGCAAAGTAGGTATTCCTTGTTGATCTTTCTTTTCTTGGGATACGAAGACGATCTCTCAACCCCGACCTGCCCCTCCTACTTTCTTTCTTTTTCTCTCTTTTTCCACTACTAGAACAACCGATCTAAGGATAGTGCTTTCTGGTCCGTAATTTGCCCTTCCCAGAGAATGTCAACTGAAATTCCTATGAAACTGTAATTCAAAGAATGCTGTCCTCCTTGTGAATAGAATTCCACCGTGATACGGGACAGAAGATGGTCTTTCAGACAGTAAAAGCTTCAAGTTTCCTAGAGCAGCCTCCACTCCAAGAAGCAACCAGAACTACCGGACAACCTCAGCGTTTCAGTGCAGGAGAGAATGTGGAAGGCTCTTTAGGGGCCTGGGCATGGGGCGATAGCCACCATACCCTCTCTGGTCCGCCTGGGCTCTGCTCACTGAAATTCACGTGTCATTTCTTGTATTAAGGCTACTCTTTATCCATCCTGACCAAGCTTCCTATTGTCCATGATATGCTTGTTTTCCTATAGCAGAGGTTTAATATTGGCAGGTTGTTTATTTTATGATGAAAGAATATTCTTTCTTTATGTCTAGCCTGGGAGTCAGTTTCAGAGAGTGAGGGCTCCGGGTCAGTGGGGGAAAGGAGAAAGGGAAGATGAGAGAAGAGGTAATGGGGTTCAGGACACACACCCCAAAATTGGCACTTTCACATTGATGTTATGTAGTATCTCTGACCCTCCACCACCATTTCATCTTATATGGTCTATATTATAGATATTCTTCTCTGGACCTCATTCTAAAGTAAGTCATAAACCTCTACGTTGGGGCTTCTGCCTGAGGAAAGGGAGTATCCTGTGCGGGGAAAACAATTTGAACAAATCTGTCTTTGCTGAGGCCCCCATAGTCTTACTTTGCCATTTGTTATCATCCTCCTGTTGGCTGCAGCGTTCTCCTCACGACTGCCATGTCACCTAATCTAGCATCAAATACACAGGTTCTCTGTTTTTTTGGGTCTCATTTGGAATGGTTCCCATTGTCATGGGAAATTAATTTAATCAGTTTTGTTATATTCTTTCCTCTTTGTTTTATCATCTCTATAGGTGCCCTCATCCATGAACCTTTCCTAGGCGAATGAATATTTATTCTCCCTACAAGAGGGAGGGGGGAGGGAGAAATCCTGGTGAATGCTTGTGAATCAGTCCTGACCTCTCGAGTCTGCCCAGAAGATACCATCATTACATCCCTGGTCTGGCTGCTTTGCTCCACCTCAAGCTTTGGAGTCCTTTGGAGGTCAGCCCTCCTACTTCAGAGACTTGTCCTCAGAGGCATGCGTTCCTTCCACCTGGCCTCTATTCCTTGCGTAGCTGCCTTCCCTCCATGCTGATTTATTTTGTCTCCGAGGCTGGTTCTTTGAACTCCTGAGCTCAAAGGCGTATTCTCCCGCCCTCAGTCTCTTCCCTATTGTGTGGGGTTCAGGGCGTGAGCCAGCCTCGCCCTACTATATGTGATTTCGGGATTAGGACATGTTATAAATAGCCCTTGTTTAACTTCTCACTTCCTCAATCAAAGCTGTAAGATAGGCCTATTGTTCTCTATCTCCAATAACCAAGGAAGCTTCAGGTCATACCTGAAAATTGGCAACGATGCCCATTCCAATACATCCCACCAATCCAAGAACTAACGACACCAAGTTAAAAACAGGAGAGCTGAAATAGCAGGTTTGATTTTGCTTTTCTACTATTTTGTATCTTGTGTACATCGTGGCTGCACCTGAAAAAGAAAGGAACTTCGATGAATTTTCATTATTTGATTTTTTTTTTTTTTAGAATGACAAACACAGGAGAAGTTTTGTATCACTTCTGAAGAATGTCCTGATGGCAAATCCCCCTACTTCCTTACCCCTGTCCTTCTGCACCCCATCTTTCTCTCTCCCCAGCATGATGGACACACAAACACCCCATCTTAGCAGTTATCCTTTTCACATAAATGCTATTATGGCACATGTATTATTCTGTGACTTGCTTTTTTCACTTAACAATGTACCAGTATGAGATACCACATTTATTTCATCATTCTCCTAAGGCTGAATTTCTACGTTGCTTCCTATTACAAACAATGCTCAATGAACATCCTTGTGTATAAATCTTTGGGCACACTTTCAGGTGTTTCTGAAAGACCAATTCCTGGAAGTTGTGTTACTGGGTCAAAAACTACACACAATTAAAATGTTGAGAAACACCTCCAAATTGCTCTAAGACAGATAACAATTTATATTCCCACCAGCAGAGCTGGAGAGCAATTCTGTATGCTTTTACCCTTTTAATTACTGTCTATCTAAAGAATGAAAAATGGCAAGCCGTCAGTTTAATTTACATTTCCCTGATCATTGGTGACATTTAGCAACTTTCAGTATGTCTTCTGGTCTTTTGCATTTTTCCTGAGAATTGCATGTTTATCATTTTTTTTTCTTATTTTTCTCTTGTGTTTGTCTATTTGTTTCTGATGTGTAGTTGCTTTTTACACATTATATCCATTAGTCTATTGTCTGCTATAAACACTGCAAATTTTCTTCTAGTGTGCTGTTTGTCTTTTAACTTTGCCTCTTATATCTTCTGTCATTTAGAAGATTTTTTTATCTACTCAAATCTACCAATTATTTCCTAATTAGCTTCTAGATTTTTTGTAAGCTTTCTATCCTAAGGTTTAAAATATTCTCTTATAATTTCTCTTATAATTTTGCTTTTCATGTTTAGTTCTTTAATTGCAATTAGCTTTTGTATATGGTGTGAGAATACTAAAAAGATATGTTTTTTCATATCTTTAGCTCATCTATTAACAAAGTATTTAATAGCATTTATTGTTTATCACTGTTAGAGTAATTTGTCAGTAACATGTAATCTACATGGGAGCAGGGGCCTTGTCTGTTTTGTTTGCTGCTGTGACCCCAACACTAAGCACAAAGCCCATCACACAGTAAGTATTTAGTAAAGGAACATTGAATAACTGGATAGCTATCATAATTTTAGATACATATTCCTTTAACTTAGCAACTTTATCTTGTAGAAAAATTCACATAAATATGCAAAGTATACTTAAAAGGATGTTCACTTCAATGTTGTAACTGCAAAATATCAGAAAGAGTTTAACAATATGGGACTCACTAACTAAATTATAATACATCTATGTGATGACTATCATGCATGTGTTAAAATGACAAGGTAGACTTGCATGTACCAACATAGTGATGACCATAATATTTTAATGAATTTTAAAAAGCAGATGAAAAACTAATAATTTATCCTATTTCAAGTGAATATATTCACATCAGCTTCTGCCTTGCCTAGAAGCAAAAAGCCAGATTTTATCATTTGCTGGTGATAAAATAGTCCCTCTGTCTTCCAAGTCTGGACTGTTGGCAAAGATGGTGTCAGAGGACACTGGGATTGATCCGATCCATACTTCTACTTCCCTTTGCTCAATTCCAAAACCTCGGGAGGAGAGGGCCACAAATGGGTGAGGAAGTGAAACCTTCTCTGTACCAGGTAGAATTAACAAAGTCCAAAGATGCGTGGTCACTAAGTAGAGTTTCCAGCACCTGTCTCTTCCCGCCCTGCACAGGTAGAGAGCAACAGATAGGCCGTTGGCCAACACTCGATTGTTCCATAGGGTGGGAGACAATGGAAGGACTAAGAGAAAGAGCCCTACAAGCTGACATCTACACACTCAGATCACCCCGTAAGAGACTACGTCTTAGAATAATTGTCAAACACTTGTCATTAATGTGCATTACATTAGTTGGCTCATGACAGGGTTGTATCCTATCCACTGCATCTCAGGTGCATCTGAGGAATTGCAAGGACAAATCATACCTGAGTTGGAGACAGACTGCCTTGCTTCACCTTTCTCCTTTCTCTAACAGGTAAGATGACGCCTTTGTCAGGGGTTCTCAAACTTTAGTGAGGATCCCAGCCCCTGACAGTGCCTGTTAACAACACATATTCTTGGACCCCACTCGCAAAGGCTCTGGTGGAGTGGATCTGTGGTGTGCCCCAGGAACATGTGTTTTAACCAAGGCCTCAGATGATGTTTCACCAAGTTGCCTTCTGAACACTTCGAGAAATATTAGCTTATATATTGGGTCTCTTTGGTTTACAGTGTCTCAGATATAAATACAAAATTTTAAAAACCAAATTACATTTAAAATCAATTTCAGAAGTTTGATATTTAGCGGGCGACGTGGCTCCGGCTGTAATCGCTAGCACTCTGGGAGGGCCGAGGCAGGCGGCACTGAGGGGTCAGTAGTTTGAAACCAACCTGAGCAAGAGCAGACCCGGCTCTACTATAGAATAGAAAAGAAATTGATGTGCCAATAATAGTATAGAGAAAAAATTAGCCGGTCATGGTGGCGCTTGCCTATAGTCCCAGTACTCGAGAGGGTGAGGCAGCAGGATTGGTTGAGCCAGGAGTTTGAGTGTGCTGTGAGCTAGGCTGACGCCACGGCAGCTCACTCGGCCTGCGTGGGCCAACAAGTGAGACTCTGTCTCAAAAAAAAAGAAGTTTGATATTTAAAACCCCCTACAGCAAATCCTATGACAAATTACCAGATAGAGTTCTATAATAAAGCCATAAATAATTTCGGATTTCTAGTCACTTTAGTTTCACAAAGTAGAGAAAAATTCTAGCTGCAAAGGTCCATAGTTTTAAAAACTTATACGTACACATACTGTCAATAACACTTTTGACTTCATTTAGGATCATGAATGTTTCATTTATTGCTAATAATTATTGTGTACTTACCAAGAAATGCAGAGAAGTTTATCATAAATCCAAAAATACCACTCTCTGGAGGTGTTGTTCCTGTATCACTGGGAAAAAGAAGAAATGTCCAAATTATTGAATTCAGTTCAGACCTCGGAGCAGGTATATAATCGGCAAGTTTTATATCGGCCTGTTTTATATTTCCTAGTTTTAAAACTGATGGCAATCGTTTTCATCTGGGTGTGCAGCCACGTTGAATTCCAAAGATTTGCTTGATTTTGTTCTATAGTATTTTCATTTTGGCTCTGGAAAATCTAAAATTAATTTTTCTACCGTGAAAGATTACACTTAATTTCTTTTCCATAGTAAAAAGCTAAGAAATGTTTGAAAGGAATGGTGTTGCTGTTTCTCAAATGATCAAATCCACTCTTGGTAAAAAAAAAATTGAGTGCAACTACTTTGGAAAAAAAGAAAAATGATATAAAATCACATTTGAGAATTCTATCCAGATATGAAATATACATAAACACATCACTTTAATTTTTTCATGACTGGATATGCCCATGATGTGATAGTGCTGAAAATAAAATGATAAAAAGGTGAGCAATATTATTGATCACTATGGAAACAATAGGGTATCGAGGGTATTTTAATTATGATCAATTATTTTAATGAAAAAGAGTCTCTATAAAACATTTTTCAGGTGCAGTCTATCAATATTAAGTGAGTTGAAATATGTTGTTTGGCATGTTCTATTTTCTCTTAGTGCCAAGTTTTAAATGTTTACGTTTCCAGGCTGCTCACATAGCAACTTTCCCAGTTTTAAAACTGATGGCATAAGAGCTCCCAACATGAAACAACTCGTACCCGTTTTGAGTGCTTGACATTTCAAAACGGCTCTGAAATTTAAGTGTTGAAAAACCGATCACATTGAAAAAGATGCATTTCAAAGCGTCTGGAGAATTCTACATGAAGCCTATGTTTGCAGAAAGTAAGAATTTTAAAGTTTTGTGAACACTTAATATATAAAGAGTATAAAGAGGTTAATAACCCCCCCCCTTTTAACAAATGCCTTTATTCCCAATTATCTCAATCTCGGTGTCACTTGTACCTGTAAGAACCGGAAGGGTTTAGAATTTAACATTACCACTTTTCCCACTAAAACCATTTTTTTCTTCAGCAGCACACTAAAGGAGTGTCGAGGTGGAGACGGCTGCCCGAGGTGCACCAAGTCCTTCTGAGCACACCGCTGAACGGCATGGAGAAGAGAGTGGGAACCAGCACCAGGAAGAAAGCAGAGACAGCTGTTAACCTCGGGCAGCACTTTTGCCAGTCAATTAACTCTGGCAAGGAAATCAAGCCTTCCTGTCTTGGCCTCAGGGCATAAAAAAGCAGCCACCAGGTGACTCATGCTAGCGCACTTGTTGCACAGGTCCAAGGGTAATTCTGGAACCTCAGGCAGCCACCTACCAGGGACAGAAAGCTCAGGAAGAGGAGATGTAGTGGGAAGAAGTAAGTCTGCTTGTTTGTGGAGAAAGGGAAGGAAATGGAAGAATGAGGAAGACATTTAGGAAGATAGGCAGTTGAGGGGCATGAGAGTACGCTAACGTGAAGAAGAGCAGACTCGGGGACCTTGTCTATTGATGGCCAATTGAGACTATGTCCAAGGCCCAGAAGTATGGTCCACAGGACATCAAGCATGTGATCTGAAAACTCAGAATTTCAGGGTGGTATTTTATTCTCGTTTATCTGTACACTTAAAACCACACAGGTGGAACCAAAAGCACTTTGCAAATAGCCATTCCATATGTATTTATTGAATGAATATCAGTACTAGCAAATAATAATAATAATAATAACCTAATAGATATCACTTACAGAGCATTAACTATGTACGAGGCACCATTAGGTGCTTACTGTAATCATTTCATTTCATCGTCACAACCCTAAGGTGGATTTTATATCGACCCCATTTCACAAAGGAGGAAACTGGGTATTAGTGAGGTTATATAACTCATTCAAGGTCACAGAACTATGTAAAAGAATCCTTACCCCAATCCAGATGTTTATCCAGATGTTTAACCCCTTGACGTCCCAGCCTCCTCCGAGCTCTAACAGCAGGCAAGGGACAAGGCAGCCAGGAGGGTGATCGGAGAGTGGGGCACGAACGCTAATATGCCGGTCAACGTTTAGCAGACAGCTCTGGACGGCACTGGATTTGTATTATAGCATTTGCTAATTTCCATGGTGAAAAATACTCCCAACATGTCAAAATTCAAGCTACCAAATGCAGGTCACTGAATATGGAGTTGGGAAGAGATACACACAGTGGCAGTTACCAGCGGGTACCAGCACAGCATAGGAATGAACCTTCACAGTAACGAGAAGGGATCTGTATGCCTCCGTTGTGTCCCAGGAAGATGTAAACTAGGCAGAGCCTTAAAAACTTCTCAAATACTATAATTGAATTGTGAAAGCTCTTTGACAAATGCCACCATGGTAAATCTAACTGTTTTTCAGGATTACTGAGTCTATAACACCCACCATCCATGCATGACTACCAATGGGCCCACTTTCCTACATCTTTGCACTAAACGATAGGCAGTGTCACTACAAAAAAAACTGGGGGAAATATTAATACACTGAATTCACAACCAGTTGTTTGATCGAACAACCATCTTTTCAACATTTTTGGTTTGGCTCCTCAAATAATGATAACATTTATCCACTCATCAACAAAACATTTGTTAGACACAACCTGAATCACAAATTCCTGAATCTATCAATTAACTCTATCAATTAAGGTAAGAATTGTCAGAGTTCGTGATTTATTTCCACTAAATGACAAGAGGGTATTATGTCCTTCCTTTCTAAAGGACACTTGTCACAAGAAAGAAAGAAAGAAAGAAAGAAAGAAAGAAAGAAAGAAAGAAAGAAAGAAAGAAAGAAAGAAAGAAAGAAAGAGGGTATTACATTAGCTGAAATTTTGCTCAAGAATATTTCATGAAAACTTTCCAAGCAGCAGGTGAAAATGTAGATATGTGTACAAACTTTTAAGTATAGTAGCGGTCACTCATTTTGGTTAATAAAAATGAAAGGGCTCTTACCCCTCAATGAAAAATGTTCTTATAAGTCTTTCAGTCTCTGATCTTATATATTACACCATAAGTAAATATTGAGTCACATCTGCTGATGTTGGAAATCAGATGAGCATAACACTAAGAGGGTAACCAAGAGACCCTGTGGGAAGCCTCTTTTTATTTTTACTTTTTAGCTCAAATTAAATGATTCCATCGCACAGGGCAGAGGTAGTAGTATTTGGCTGGCATAGCTGTGCCTGGGTGCCTGATTCAGGATACTGGAGAACGAGTGAGAGGTGAAACCAACTGCTTCCCAACCTGGCAGAAGTAGTCTCTCTAGGCAGCTCACGTATGTATCATTCTGCCTCACGTGGTTTTAGCAATGTGATTGGCCCCGTCCCAACTCCCCCTTCAGCCCCGCCCAGGCACTTCCCAGAAACTCTAATGGGATAAGGAGAGCAAGTTGTTCATCTGCCTGTAGTTTAGAAGCTATTGAGGCTATTAAGTGGCCACAGTTATTTCAGGGTAGGTTGTACCTATGAAATCAGTTTATGTGCTCATTTCCTGTATTTACTATCTGCAGATTGAGCTGACTGTGGAAAATTCCAAGTAGTCTGTGTAACATCCTTCTCCAAACTAATTTATGAAGTCAAGCCAGTACATAATCAACTGATGCTCAAGTAAGAAAACAATACAAAGAAAATGTGCCTGATAATATAAGACTTTCCCAAGCTTGGTCAAATGTTATTTAAAGAAGCATTGGAGAGGCCGGGCGCAGTGGCTCACGCCTGTAATCCTAGCACTCTGGGAGGCCCAGGCAGGAGGATCACTCAAGGTCAGGAGTTCAAAACCAGCCTGAGCAAGAGCAAGACTCCGTCTCTACTAAAAATAGAAATAAATTAATTGGCCAACTAAAAATAATAGAAAAAATTAGCCGTGCATGGTGACACATGCCTGTAGTCCCAGCTATTCAGGAGGCTGAGGCAGAAGGATTGCTTGAGCCCAGGAGTTTGACATTGCTGTGAGCTAGGCTGATGTCACGGCACTCTAGCCAGGGCAACAGAGTGAGACTCTGTTTCAAAAGAAAAAAATGAAGCATTCAGGAGATTCAATTACTCCAAAGACTGGAGCGATGGTTTATTGGAGGGGCTTAGATGTTGACAAGATGCAACATTATCTTTGTCTCCAGTGTGAGGTTTATTAGATTGTTCTAAAATTTTAAGCTCATTGTTTGGAAGATTGACCAGGACCAGGACTCAGAACCCCCAAAAAACATAATACTCCAGTAAAAAGAGACTATGATTTCCTTTATCTTTACTATATTGAAATACATTATTTAAAAGAAATAAGTATGGTAGTAAAAAGTTATATTACAGCTTATTAGATACTTTCAATTACTAGGGCTAACTTTATGGTGGCTTCACTTAGTGATGACTATTCCTGAGTGGGAGGCACCACACAGTTATATCAACTGTTTTTAAACTAAAAAAGAATTTCCTAGCCACGAATGCACATGACTTGCTCTTCTCTCTCTCTCCCTCTCTCTCTCTCTCTCTCTCTCTCTCTCTCTCTCACTACCCGCACTACCCCTATGCAATTTTGCCCTCTCTCTGTCAAAGTTCCCCTCTTTGTTCACTCATACAGCACTTTTTTTAAAGAAATCATTAAGCATCTCCTAAGTGACTGCACACAAAGATAAAAAGACAATATACTACCTTTAGAAAGCTTAGCATCTAACAAACAATTCAAAGATTCCTAGTTACTGATTGTTTTCTATGCAACAGGCAATTTTGTAGGCTCAGGGAATACAGCAGTGAATACAGTAGAAAAAGCACCTCCTTCATAGAATTATATTCTGGTTTATATTGATAAACACCAGTAATCTCGGACGGAGGCGTGCTGTGAAGAAAGGGAAAGGTAGATAAGAGGGCAGAGAAAGATAGGTGGGCTGCTTACTTGTGACAGGGTAATCTGAGAAGGTGACCTTGATGAGAGACCTGAATGAAAGGAGAGAGCGAGCATTAGAA